GTTTCCGAGCCCCCTGCAAGACCCCAGGGTCGCAGTACTCTCGTCTTAGGGCCGGGCGGAAGGTGCCCCAGCGTCCCGTCCCCTAACGAGGCCACTGTTTGTGTTCACTTGAAAAGTAACGGGCACTTGGTGTTTAAAAGGTGGACGGAGCCACGGGCCAGAGCGAAAATGATCCGTGCCTGTCTCTAGCTCGGCTAGCGAAAGCCCCGCGTAAAAACTTTACCAACTGCCTGTGTACAAGTGTTGTCACCCCTCTTTATTTATAATGCGTCCCCTGCCCTTCCTCCAAAGCCTGCTGTGTGGGCAGGCAGGTGGGGAGCGAGAAGGAGCCTTGGGGGCGCTGTGGGCTAGGCGTTGGCGATTCAAGCCCCACAGCCTCTTGGAGAGACAAGCTACGAGACTCTCGCCTTGGTAAAGATTGAGTCGTCCGAATTGACTGGACTTGATTTGGCGTGGTGGGCTCGTTATGAGTTGGTCTGCTAACTGGAAGGTCAGCAGTTTGAAGCCACCTCCCACTCCTCGGGAGAAAGGTGAGGCGAAATTTCTACCCCCATAAAGGTTTACAGTCTTAGAAACTCACAGGTAGTTCTACCTGGCCCTATAAGGTCTCTGTGAGTCGGAATCCACTTAGTGCAGTGACCTTAGTTTAGGGGCCCTTAGTGGTTAAGAATTGGTCTGCAACTTCAAAACGAATTGGTTGGCACTTCAAAACCACCAGCCGCTCTTCGCTCTTCGGGAGAAACATGGGCTTTCTACTCCCCTAAACAGTTACGGTCACGGAAAATCTACCCTGCCCTATAGGGTTGCTGTGAGTCGCTATGGCAGTGAGCTGGCAGCACTGGAGTGGGGTTTTGTTTTTGTTGTTTGGCTTGGTTAGGTGTTTGTCACTGTGCTCCTTTGGTTTCGGTGTTTCCCTGGGCTGCTAACCCAGAGGGGACAAGGAAGAAAGGCCTGGCAATCTACGTCAACCCACCCTCCCCAAATCAGCAACTGACAAGTCAATGGAGTACAGTTCTACCGGGACACAAGTGGGCCGCCCTGAGTTGGAATCCACTGGGGGGGTGGGGGGTGGGCAGGGCCAGGATGTGCACAGCTGGTTTGGTAGCAGCTTTGTAACACCTCAACACCAGAGTTCTCTCTCTGTGGGCACCTTGTGCTGGGGTCTGGTTCTGACAGTCCCTCTGCATTGTGCAGGGTCCCCAGTAAGGGAGCATCCAGTAAATGGAGGTGCAGCACCCCAGAGGAGGCATTTAGAGTGAAAGAGACCCTGCAGTAGACTTGAGGAGGGGGTGCATTAAGAGCAGCCCCGATCAGATTCAGATTACCTGATCATGTGGATGCATGGCCAGGCACTTTGGGCCGGACAGTTGAGAGCAGAGCTCTCTGTACCCTGTACCCTTCACTGGAGGGGTTGTGTGGACTCAGGTCCTGCTGAGTGAAGATGCTGAATGTCCAGGAAGCAAAGTGTACTCTTAACTGTGACCTGCCCACCCTGTACAGATACGCTCCTCAGCCCATTAAACACATAGTGACCCAATGGGACAGAGCAGAACTGCCCCCAGGGGTTCTGGGGCAGTACCTCTTTATGGAAGCTGACAGGTTCGAATTGCTGAACCTTGGATAGCAGCCAGGTGCTTTACTGCTCCCCTAGAGCTCCACTTTCCTCAAAGAGACTGTAAATTATTTGCCACACTCCTCCCCCCTCCTTTGGTGGCTAGTTTGTTGTTTGGCCATCAGGGGTCCTCAAACTTTTTAAACAGGGGGCCAGTTCACTGTCCCTCAGACCCGTTGGAGTGCCGGACTATAGTTTATATATATAAAAAAACTATGAACAAATTCCTATGCACACTGCACGATCTTATTTTGAAGTAAGAAAACCAAAGGGGCAAAAACACCCAGCAGGCGGATAAATGCTCGCCTGGGCCATGTTTTTGACTGAGGTCCTCATGACATCTGGCCATAGGAGTGTGACATGACTTTCTTTTCTCTTGTCCCCCTTTTCTGCACTTGATTCCTTATTATTTTCGATGTTCCATGTGGTCCTAAGGGTCCACTAAGAAGTCACTGAGTCAGTTTTGTCCAGTTAGGATCCCTGCAATGCAGACTTTCCTGGAATGTCCCCAGATGTGCTAGCTGGTCATGTCCCCCACTTCTAGGGAATGCTCTTAAGGGGCTGAGAGGGGGTGGTCCTAGTCTGTTGACATCTGCTGAGCCTGAACCTACCATTCGAGTTCTCTATCAGGGCTCTCTTTCCATTAAAAAAAATGTGCTTTTAAATTTCATGCACACTTATTTTGGTGTTTGGGTCTCTGTATTACAAACATATAGAGTTAAAGGCATAGAATGGTTTATCTATTGCTACATTCAAGAGCAGCTCCATCACCCCCAAATTTGCTGCTGCTGCCCCTCTGTGGTCTACCTTGCACACAATCCCCAGCCCCGGGCCACCGATGTGTCTTCCAGCCCAGTGCCACTGTCCCATTCTATCATCTCACTGTCCCTTTCCACCCCATTCCACCACTGTTGGCATAAACTCAGTGCCCCTGAGTGAGCTCTCTCCTTCCCTTCTCTCCTACCCCTAGTAAACACTGGTAACCTGGGGTGTCGAGATAGTGGTTGGGAGAGTGGTTGGCTACTTTCATAGAAGCAAGGTCACATAGTGTTTGTCCTTTTGTGACTGACTGGCTGTGCTCGGCGTGATGTTCTCAAGGCTCATCCATGTATGACATGAATCAGAAACCCCTTTCTCTACGGTTAAGTAGTGGTCCATGGCTCGCATAGACTGCACCTTGAGCCCCTTCATCTCTTGGTGGACATTTAGATTGCTTACAAACTGCACTGACCACTGGTGGACATTTTGCATTCTGCCTTCAGTTCTCCCAAGTCTGGGTTCTGGGGCTTACACGCTGGTTCTGGAATCAGCTCCTTGCTGTGCCCATTGACGTTCCCACGAGGGTTCCAGTTTTCCACAGCTTCAGGAACAT